GGTTGAGAACCACTGTCCTATTCTGAAATTGTCCCCAGATCTCCCAGTAGCAAAAGGTAACTAAAAAGGAGTCTGGGAAACGCAGTCTGTAAGTGCAGCGCATGGATCTAAGGTGGAACAGGCAAATGGCAACAGGAACCAGTCACAGATGTACACTTAGTGACTGGTAAGGCCAGGACTCAAGAGTCAGTGTCCACAAACCCTGCTCGGAATCTTGGTGCTACGCAACAGACTACGGTCAAATGGCAAGTTACAAAAGAGCCAAAACCATGAGAACCCAGGTCTCTAACTCATACTCAAAGATCCCTTCTTTCCCTCTCTACCACAGACACTTCCATCTCATCCAGACAAATCCTTTCAAGCACAAGTTGGTCAAAGTCAAAGCTGTCTTAAAGACATGGTCGAAGCCACTGGCTAGGGGTTAAGACAAAAAGTACTTTAAAATCACACACAAAGACTTCTGAACTAAAGCGTGAGTTTTCTTAAATAGTACACAGAAAGATCAACTGGGGGGAAAAAAAGAAAAAAATTTTTAAAGAAAAAGAAAAGGGATATTAAAAGAAGAAGAAGAAAGATAACTGGGAAGTTTGTTAAAGAGTAAACTATGGACCTGCAGCACCTATCAGCTGGTGGAGCCAGGAACAGCCTCTTTAACAAGTAACCAAGTGATTCTGATGCACTGGGTCAGCAACCAATCCTTTGAGAAACACAGCTTCTAAAAGGTCAAACTGGAAGACAGCCAAACAAGCTCTAATCTAAGAGATGGATTGCCCCCGTCCACTGCAACCTTCAGGGTGGCTTGCAACTTAAAAGAAAAGAAAAAGCGTCACAGCTGCACCAACAAACATGATAAAAGGAGAAAAGGCTGACATCAAAGGATTCCATTTGGCTTGGAACCATGATCACTGCACAGAAGCAGCAGTCAGGAAGTCAAGGGCAGACCGCTGCACAAGCCCTCCTTGCAAGTGTTGAAGAGCAAGGAAGTCCCTGAGAGATCTAAGGGGCACCTGACCCCAAGCCCCGGTGTTTTCAATCACCTCATATACATATGGAAGTTAGACAACGAATCCAGCAAAGAAGGAAGTGATTTATTTGAATCATGGCTTTGGTGAAGAAAACGGAAAGTACCGTGGAACACCAAAAGAGCAAGCAAATCCGTGTGGAAAGAAGCACAGCCAGCATGCTCCTCAGAAGTGAGAGCATGTTACCAGGAGAGACCAGTCCCTGGAAAAGGACATCACACTTGGTAAAGCACGGGACCAGTGAAAACGAGAAAGACCCTCGAGGAGATCATTGAGTGGCTACAACAGGCTCCAGCATGACAACGATGAGGCTGGCACACCTGGCACAGATCGGGGTCCTCACTCCCAACATAACGACGAGGAGGCTGGCACAGGACCAGGCACTGAGGGGGTTCGTTGTGAATCAGAACCGGCAGCACCCAACAGCAACAAGAGATGAAGGGCCGCAAGTATCCTTAGGAAAAGCGCAGAAAGACTTTGAAGAACACCAATGTCCATCAGACTCTCGAGTCAGGCTTCAAGCCCGTTATGGACCCTTCTCACTGACCTTGGCTGCCAAGGGTGGCAGCAGCCGTGTGGTAGGTCTCACAGTCCACACAGAAAGTTCCTTGTTTCTCTGCCCCCAGCATCTCGAGTTTCCGGGTGAGGAGCTCCACAGTCTGCTGGATGCTCTTGCCCTCGGCCACAGGCATCTGAGACACACTGGAAGGTGAGGATGGAACACATCAGTATCCAGAGACACACGCACCTGCTGAAACCCTTCACTCACAGCCCGCAGGCCCGGGAATTACCTTGGGGACCACCTACCCTCACACCTGCATCCCTGAGGGGTCCTCTACCAGGCGTCCTCAAACTACAGCCCACGGACCACATGCAGCCGCCAAGGACATTTATGCTGCCCGCCTGGTGTTTTTGCCCTTTTTTTTTTTAACTTCAAAATAAGATATGTGCAGTGTGCACAGGAATTTGTTCATAGTTGGCCCCGTTTAAAAAGTTTGAGGACCCTTGCAGAGCGCAGGTTTCAGGGCTTCCATACCAGGGCAGGGAGCTTAGTAGCACACCAGCATACCCACAACATGGCAAGTGGGCCAAAGACTCAAGTTGTCCCGCTGACTGGGTATTCTATAACACCACAATACCCTGAGTGGTATCATGGGAAAGGGATTTTCTCTGCAATTCTTCCAGTTCTGACTACACCAAAGGCGAGAGTCTGTTTGGAGTTAGCACGTTTTCACCAACCCTTTAACAGTGTGAGCCTGGGTTGTAAGGAGAGGTAAGGTTTACCACATGTTAGGGGTAAAAACGACTAGAGAAATCCAACAGAGTAGCATGTCCTGAAGAGGTGAAGCAACTAGAAGCCCTGATCACCGCATTACCAATGTCTACCCCGCCCCCCAGCCGCCCCGCTTTAAATCAGAGACGTTAAAAAAGCCAAAGTATCGTCTCCTTGCCCATCCCCGACTCCCTCCAGCCTTGCCAGCTGATGCTGCCGGATCGGAGATCCAATTCGGAGGCTGAAGTCCCACCCTGGGCAGGTGAGCTACGACCTCACTAGCAGGGAGGAGGTCCACGACCATGGACGGCTTTCTGGGGTAAAACCTTTCCCCTGCCGCCTTCCAGAAGGAAGGGCTCCTCGTCGAAGAGGCAGGCCCGGAAAACGCGCAGCCCTCCCGGTGTCCTCTTCATCCACACGACGGGGGACATCTTGCTCAGCTCCCCGGGCAGTGAGGACCCCGATCGCAAGCCTCCTCCCGCGTCTACTCGAGGCGCCGAGGGTCCTACACGACCCCAAGGCGCGCCCCACAAGCCCCGGGCGACTCTCGCAGCCCTACCAAGTCACTCCCATGGTGCCGGGGCAGGCGCGAGGGGGCCGCGGACGCTGGAGACGCTGCGCCCGCCGGGAACCGCAGAGATCCCACCAACGGAAGCTGCGGCGGAAGGAAGAGTTCCGGAAGTGACGTCCTAACGGAGCGCCAAGTCGACACGCCCACACGGCGCGGAGCGGCCTGGGTAGCCGCCGTCGGGGACGCCTCCAGTGACGTCAGGCGCGCACCTCCCGCCCCCAGGCTGGCGGTGTCTGAAATGCACGTCCGGCCGGCTGGACGCGGAGGCCTGTGAGACGAGGGGGGCATGGCCGGGACCACCACCGCTGGCCAAACGCTCGCGCTACAGGCGAGAGGCGTATTTCGGCCATCGGCCTCCGCGGCTCCCTTCGGGGGCGGGGTGACTCGCCACTATTTCTGGCCTCCGGACGCTGGGGGGCGCTGTGCTCCCCGCGTGGCCTCTTGGGAGCCGGATCTGCCCTTCGCAGTCACATTTGGCTTCTCTTCTCGGTACCCACGTGTGAACCTTCCCGGTGACTTCTTTTGAGCGAAATGCCCAAAGTTAAGGCGGCCCGCGGGGCCAGAGATCGGGAAAAACATGCGCCTCTGGCGGAGCAGATCCTGACTGCGGACGCAGTCCGGGAAGGGACCCGGGAAAAGCGGAGGGGCCGCGGGGCCCGAGAAGAGGAAGACTATGTGGACCCCCAGCTGACCCGACGTATTTTGCAACAAGCGCGGCAGCAGCAGGAGGAGCTGGAGACCGAGCACGGGCCTAGAAGCAAGCCCTCTGCTGCGAAGGAGCGCACCACGCGACTGGGTGAGCGGCGACGGGGTGGGGTGCGAGGCAGGGAGTGCTTCGTTGAGGATGGATGACCTGTGATGACAGCCTCGGGAATAGGTTGGAATTAAAAAGGTGGGGTCCGTAGTACACCCCTAGAAAGGTGGCCGGGCCCTGGAGGGAATTTAGAGAGGTAAGCCCCACCACGCCCCTCCTAGGTGTAGGCGCTTAATACGTGCCATGTTTTGGTGGGGTGTCTCGACGCCGCTTCCTGACGGCTCCAATCTTATCTCCACTCATGATGTTCTTGATTGGCCCAATTGTGAGGATTTTTGTTCTCCCCACACTGAGTGGACTGTGGGGCTGCCGAGTACTAGGGAGGAGGCGACTGCTGAGAGATCGTGGTAGTTTGAAGTGTTCTGATTCTAGATAACAGAAGGGGAAAACGGTGAGAGGCTCCGGTTTGGAAAGGGAGGGTAGGAAGCCCATAGACCGAGCCCCATGCCACTTCAGTGATCAGAGACAGGACAACAGAGGAGCCAGCAAAGCAGTCTGAGAGGTGGTGACATGGAGTGGCTTAGCTGAAAGGTCATCTAATCTGGAAGACCTTCCTGACACCCAAGCTTTGTTCATTGTTAGGGGAGAAACTCTGTTTTCCCTATCGTGGAATGTCGTGTCTAATTGTTTTCACTGTCTCTCCCCTAGGCTGTTAGCTTCCAAAGCCAGTACCACGTTGTTCCTTTTCTGTATCCAAACCCCGAGCATAGTTGGAAGTACAATAGTAGGCGCCCATAACAGTCATACAAGTGCCTAAGTAGAAGAGCTTGGTTGGTCTAACTTTTGAGGTGCCAGCTGAGGACAGGAAGGTCCTTTGAGAGGGGCTTTTAAAAACTGGAGAAAAGGAAAAATCTGTGATCTTTTCATTACATTTTTTGAAGCCCCATCGTATGTGCATCATCTGTCTCACTGCACACCTCTCTGTCTGCTGCAGGCACCTGTGGTGTGACTTGCACCAAATACTTGTTCAAGGTGAAAAGATTCTGAACTCCTCACCCCTTGTCACGCTCATCTCCCCCTCTCCCCTCTTCTAGGTCCAGGAGTGCCCCAGGATGAATCGGATGAGGAGTGGCCCACCCTGGAGAAGGCTGCCACAATGTCAGGGGTGAGCCACCACGCAGAGGTGGTCGTGGATGCTGAGGATGAACGTGCTATTGAGATGTTCATGAATAAGAACCCTCCTGCCAGGTAGGGCTGGCATGGCCCGGCGTTTGGGATGGCAAGTTCTGGTGGGAAGTTCCCACGCAGAAGCAAATGCTCTGGCAGACCTTGGATTCCCTGGCTTTGGGAGCGTTGCTGAGTTTTTCAGGAACACCATGGCAAAGCTGGGCCATCCTGAGGACCGCTACTAAAAATAGGAATGGCTAGACTTGGAATACATCCTCCCTTATACTCGTTGGAATTAAACGAGTTTGCCTGGGCAAACTGTTCTGATTGCCTGGGCAAACGGGGCTGGGGGGTGGGGAGGGTGTCTTTTTGTGTCTCTGGGGAGGCCCATGGCTGTTGCTGTATGATGTTGGTAGCTGCTGTCTTAAGGTAAGCACAATCACCTGGGCAAAATCTCTTTCACACTTGGAGCTTCTTTTAATCCTGGAGTTCCCAACCTTGGGGGCCAAGGGGTTTGAACAGTTCTTTATTATGTAGGCTGCCAGGGCAGCATCACAACTCTCCCCCAAGTGGTGATCATTAAAAACACCCAGTGCCATCGTGTCGGCTCCACTCAGTCACCCTAATAGAGCAGGGTAGACTGTCCCTGTGGGTTTCCAAGACTAATTTGTGTGTGTGTGTGTGAGAGAGAGAGAGAGAGACTACTTTTTTAACGGGACTAGAAAACCTCATCTTTCTCCCACGGACAGTTGGTGGTTTTGAACTGCTCTTTTCCCATGGAGCAGATGGTAGACTTAAACTGCTAGGGCCTTGTGGTTGGCTGCTTAGTGCTTAACTCACTGCACCACCAGGGCTCCTCGTGTCTCCTGGGGGGCCCAAAATGGCCTTACCTGCCTTGTGAAAGCTAGGTAACGAATAAGGAAGACTGCCGATGAATTGGTGCTTCTGAATCCCAGTGAAAGCGCCACGGAGTGCCAGAAGAACAAACAGGTCTGTGTGGGAAGGAGCACAGCCAGGGTGCTCCTTAGAGGGAAGGATGACGGGACTTTGTCTCGTGTGCTTTAAACACATTACCAGGAGGGAGCAGTTTCCCGGAGAAGGCAGCATCACATGGTAACACAGTCAGCACAAAAGCGGGACACCCTCAGAGCGATGACACAGTGGCTGCAGCCTGGCCTCACACCGAACAACAATTGTGAGGATGGTGTGAGACTGGGAGGTGGTTCATTCTGTTACGTGACCTACAGAGTCGCTGTGAGTCAGAGCCCGTTAACAGGCACCTAACGTCCATAGTGACTGAGGTAGCTCTGCTCCTGCCGTGGGCAAACACTTGGCCACTAGCTAAAAGATGAGTAGTTCAAGCCCACCAGCCACTCAGCAGGAGAAACCCATGCATCTGCTTCCACAAAGATTGACGGCCTTGGAAAGAATCCCTCTAGGGGGTCTCCTTTGTCCTGTGAAGTCACAATGAGTCAGAATTGACTCAAAGGCAATGGGTTTGGTTTGGGTTTTTAGGCTAAATGCAAGGGCTAGGTAGGCGACTGCTAACAGGAAGGTTGGTGATTCAAATCCACCCAGCAGATCCACTGGAGATAGTGAAGAAAGATCACCACCAAAGGGACGGCTTTTGGTGGTAGGGCTTCACAATCTCCTGTAGTCACTGACAGTCAGTGATACAACTGTCAATGGTTGAAATTAGCAGCAATTGTGTGGCAGGTTTATTTACAGCAATGACTTTTTTTTTTAAGGAGCAGCTGCTCTGTACATCCAAGCACCTGGTTGTATTTAGTGCTTAGGCTTGGAGGTGTGAGATGGTTTCAGGGGCTTTCCCAGGTCATTATACGAATCATGTGCTCAGTGCCGCAGTTCTGCCTCCTGGTTCCTTGTTCGTGGCCCAGGGATCTTAAAGGCTTGCAAGCAACCGTCCAAGGCACAAGAGAATGGGTTCCTGTTCACCTGGAGCAGCAGAGGTGGGGGAAGCATCAGGACCTGTGGTGAACCTGACATGCTGGCTCTGGCTCGCCTGTTCAGTCTTTGTACCGCCCACTTGCATGTTGGGGTGGGATCACGCAGATCAGTCGTGCAGCGCTAGTCCAGGGGATTGGTCCGTTTGCCTTTCCATGGGGTATGTGAGAGCCGCCTGTGAAGCTGGGAGAAAAGATTCTTACATCCATCAAGCTAGAGGAACCACCAGCAGAGTGTCTGCAAGAGGGGGCGCTGCCTGACCGCCGGTGACTTCATGACTTCCTCTAGTAACCCACAGCCTCGCCGTCCATCCCGACACGCAGCCATCCTCTATGGGGCTGCCGGGGCTGTGCACCTTCATGGGAATGGATCATCTCCTCTCTTTCCCTCCGAGCTGCTGCTGGCTTTGAACTGCCGTCTTCTGGGTTAGCACCACCAAGGTTTCTCTAAACCCCGTAATCGTGAGCATTGTGTGTGGCCATGGCAATAGGTGACTGAACCCAGCCAAGAAGTAGCAGGCTGTGGGAGGGGTGGTTGATGCCGCAGCAGATAAAGGAGGATGGCGGTGGAAGCGGGTCTTCTTTCCGTTTTGTGGTCCTCGTCCTTCGGCAGCCGTGGAGCTGGAGTCTCCTCCCTTGGGAAGCCAGGAGAAGCCAGAAGTGGCCCCCGTGCCACTTCCTCGAGACCTTGAACCAGAAGTACCCCCAAGGTGTTCTTCAAACGAAAGAGTGGAATGCGTCGCTTAACCAGTCAAGAATGCCCGCTTTCGGCGCTCTGCGCTTTTGAGAACTATCTTTATGGGACGAAACAGACAATGGCAACTAGCTAGCAACCTCAGGGGGCAGCGAGTTGATGCTCACGAGGGAGGAAGAGCTCCAGAAAGGAGGGTGAGAAGGGGGCACAGCTAACTAACCATCAGAGGATGGAATTGTACTTGCCGAAGCTGTTGACCTGGTGCGGGTTTGTCTGCGTACATTCTGCACCTCACACAAGTCCGTTAGAGGTGGTAGCCACAACTCTAAAGTTGCAAGTGATTCAGTGGCTCCCGCCGAAGCCTGTGACAGCCCTGGGTGGGGACAGTCTAGGGACGTGTCCCTCACTAGTTGATGGGACTCTGATGCCAACTAAACAGGAGTGTGTCCTTGGCCCTTTGGACTGTTTGGGGTTAAGGAGTGGAGTGGAGTGGAGTGATGTACCAAGTGCTGCAGGCGGTGGCAGCTTTGAGTGCAGGACGGCGCCCAGCCCTTAACAAGGTCTCCCCGAGCTCAGACTCAGGGCCTCACCCTGACAGACGGCCTCTGGGGTTCTCCCAGTGTCTCCACTCCCACCTCAGAGATGGTGTTTACAAGCAGGGGGGAGCATTTGCCACCTCAAATATAAGAGGGGAACAAACAAACGTCATCAGCCCCATGTAGGGTTCCTGAAGACTGAATCTTTTTTTTTTTTTTTACCATTTTCTTGGGGGCTCTTAACAGCTTATAATAGTCCCTACATCCACCGTATGGAGCACATTTATACATATGTTGCCCTCATTTCCAAAACATTGTCTTTCTACTTGAGCCTTTGCTACCAGTTTCTCTTTTCCCCTCCCTCCCACCCTCGTAAACCCTTGATAACTTAGATCTTTTATTTTCATCTTTTACACCATCCGCTCAAGGCTGTAAACCTTTATGGGAGCAGATAGCCTGGTCTTCCTCCCAAAGAGCAGTGGCTGGGTTCGCCTACCTGTCCGACTAGAAACAGACTCCTAAAGTAGACACATGCACACACACACACCCGATCCCATGAACTCAGCAAAGGCCGTTTAGTTTGGGAGCACATTATGGTGTCCTGTGAAGTATCTGAACTCTAGAACCTAAAGGACCAGGGTTTGAGTCCTTGCCACCTCTAATCTTGGGTGCTTTATTAGCCTCTTAAATCTCAGTTCCTGTCTCAGTATAAGGAATCTAATAATAGCCAGGCCTTTATTCCAAGGCTCCTGTGGGTAGTCTGAGCCATCACCCCTTCAGGGAGTAGCCAAGCGGATTTGCCACCTGTGGACGCTGGCACATTTGGTCGGGGTCGGTGGTTGGTTACCCTGCTTTCCAGCTGAGGAAACTGAGGGATGGAGAGGGAAAGTCAAGTGCCTGAGGTCAGGCCCCAGGCCCGCACAGACTGGAAGAGCCAGGATTTGAACTCGGGCAGTTTGGTTTCAGAGTGTTTATGGTAAACCTCCACGTGAGGGCCACCTTTGTCCTGGGTGGAATGACTCTCCCCACCTTTGTGATTCTGGGGTGGGTGGGCGGGCTGGCGCTGCATGCCTTGCTGGACTTCAGGTTCACCCAAGCTCACAAGGGACTGGGGGCGTCTAGAGCCTCCTGAACTGACCACCGCACCCCCCCTCTTCCTTTCCCACCTCCCAGACGCACTCTAGCAGACGTCATCATGGAGAAGCTGACAGAGAAGCAGACGGAGGTTGAGACGGTCATGTCTGAAGTGTCAGGCTTCCCTATGCCCCAGCTGGACCCTAGGGTCCTGGAGGTCTACAAAGGAGTCCGGGAGGTAAGGGCCAGGGCTGGGAAACCCCGGCAGGGGCTGTGGGCTCCCACCCCAGGCTCTGGGGGACAGAAAACAGATTTAGAGAGCATGCACGGTTTCCCAGGCCTGCTCCGCCACTTAGGGACTTGGCAAGTTTGGGTGACTTTCATAAACGGTCTAGTTTCCCTTTCCCTGTTTGCAATGAGGAAAATCTCCTGCTCTCCCGGACCCCTAGGTGCTATCCAAGTATCGCAGTGGGAGACTGCCCAAGGCGTTCAAGGTCATCCCGGTGCTCTCCAACTGGGAGCAGATCCTGTACATCACCGATCCCTCCTCCTGGACGGCCGCTTCCATGTACCAAGCCACCCGGTATGGAGATGGCAGCATGGGTGCCAGAAGGCCAGCTTCCCGCTCCCCTTGCCCACCCCCAGAGCTCACACGTGTTCTTCCCATCATCCCTCCCCCAGCTTTTCCTGTGTCCTATTTCGGGCCAGGGCTCTGGTGGAAGCCCCTGTAATGGGAGTCTAGGTCAAAGGCTTCTAACTGCTCGGCTACTTCCCTGGAGGGTCGGCTTGGCCACAGCAGCCTGTGGCAGGGCACCGGGGACCCTCGGTGTGAGGAGGAAGGCAGGCAGGCAGCTGAGCAAGCTGTCACTCTAGGGGAGCGCGTCACGGCATCGCTTTGCCCTTGCAGTCCCCTCTAATCGGTCCACCACTCCTGCACACACCCTACACAGGAAGAATGGGTCCGGGTCCACAGTGACACGGACGGGGAGGCCCCAGATGACACAGAAACTCTTTCCTCCTCCCGCACCCAAGGATTTTCACCTCTAACCTCAAGGAGCGCATGGCCCAGCGCTTCTTCAACCTCGTGCTGCTGCCCCGGATCCGTGATGACATCGCCGAATACAAGCGGCTCAACTTCCACCTCTACCTGGCCCTCAAGAAGGCCCTGTTCAAGCCAGGCGCCTGGTTTAAAGGTGGGAGCCCAGGCCGGGGACATGCAGGGAGAGGGCCTCACAGGGATATGGCTATCTCGGGGCCAGCCTCCAGTGTCTGTCCTGGGACTGTCCTACTGTGACCTCCTTCCGGCGCTCACAGTGACCTTTCTCTCTGACTCTTTCCCAGGGATCCTGCTCCCACTGTGCGAGTCCGGCACCTGCACACTCCGGGAAGCCATCATCGTGGGCAGCATCATGACCAAGTGCTCCATCCCGGTGCTGCACGCCAGGTAGTACTGGGGGGAGTCAGGGACTGGTCAGGGAACCCCCAGAGAGGGGCTGGCCCTGCACTTCAGCTTGTCTGACCCAGTGAGTTGGGGGTATGGTCATCCCAGTGGGCCCCCAGTGATTAGCCGAATGAGTGAATGGGCACAGAAAGTTGAGTGGAGAGTTTGGGCAGGTAATACTGCATACAGAGGGACAAGGGTGAGCCAGAGGGAAGGCTTTGAGATGGGCCTGTGTAGCAACGGTGCTTGTCAAAGTGTAAGATTGGGTTGGTGAGCAGAAGGCCCCCTCAGTGCCAGGGTAAGGGCCTGCAGAGGGGGCACGAGGGATCTTCCAACGTTGCCCCACCACCAAGTGCAGGCCGCCTCCCTTTCCTGCAGTGCCGCCATGCTGAGACTCTCCGAGATGGTATACAGTGGTGCCAACAGCATCTTCCTGCGGACGCTGCTGGAAAAGAAATATGCCCTGCCCTACCGGGTGCTCGATGCCATGGTCTTCCACTTTCTGAGCTTCCGGGCCGAGAAGCGCCAGCTGCCCGTGCTGTGGCACCAGTGCCTCCTGGCCCTGGCCCAGCGCTACAAGGCGGACCTGTCTGCCGACCAGAAGAAAGCCCTCCTGGAACTGCTCCGACTACAGCCCCATCCCCAGGTGTCTCCCGAGATCAGGCGTGAACTTCAGAGCGCAGTCCCCCGAGATGTGGAAGATGTCGCCCCCGCCATCATGGACTGAGATGGATTACTTGTCCTGGCCCTTGGGGGGGGGGGGCCCAGATGGTGGCTAGAGGACACTCGGGACCTTTAGGCTGCACATCAGGGGTGGGGTTGGGTTTGAGGGATGTCCCACCAGTCCCCTTGCCATTTGGGGTCCTGGTTCCTGTTCAGTTATGAAATAGGTCTTGACACCTCACCTCCCCATGCCCCCCAATGGCAGCCCCTGGACATGCATAAAGACTCGGGTAAAGCCAAGTCCTGTGTAGCACCTGGATTTCTTTGTGCATTCCTGCTTGAGCAGGTACTCTGACCCAGTTCACTTAACACTCCTTTCCCGGGGCTGCATCCCTACCAGGGCCTCCCTAAGCCCCAGAAGGCATTACACCACGACCACCACATGGAATGCCAGCTGCCAGACTGATGCCCATGTTAGCTGTGCATGAAATGCCCAGTCAAAGAATGCCCTTCCCCGAGGAAGTGGACTCCCAGGGCAGAAGGCTGGAGAGTCCTCCCAGGCCTGGGCTATGACAGCTTTGGAGCAAGGGGTGGGGGGCTGTCCAGGCCGAGGGCCATATAAGGCCTTGAGATCATTAACGCCAGTTAACACTCACCTCACCAGAGCAGTTCCAGCCCTCACAGGAGGACCCCACAGATGGACCTTCTAAGTGCCCCCCACCCTGCCCTAGATCAAGGGGTGGTGGTCCCACTAGGGCCTGATGGCTGTTGTCACAGGGCCCAGGAGCTAAGGATGCTATTTCCAGATGGCTGGGGAGGGGTAAAGCCCTTTTGTGAGAAAGAACTGTGAGCTCCCCACTGTCCATGGGCGGTTACCGGAGCACCATAGCACCCCTCGCTGCCGTCCCTTCAGCTGCTCTGGGCAGTGAGTACAATCAGGCCTGTAACCCTTCTGGGCTTCTGAAGACATCAGTGTGTTCCCAACCCAACGGATGTTTGCGGGGACAGTTCCCAGTAGCAAGGTCAGGTCTATAGAATGCATGTGTTTCTATACCATTTATTTAGCAGTTCTGCAACACTTTGTTAAAACAAAAAATCACCGATTCGGTTTTTGAGCACGGTGTCCCCAGCCCCATTTTCCTGTGTGATTCTGCCTGCAGGTCTTGGAACGCTTATGGCCTATGAGGGCACAACCAACTATGTGAGGCAGAGATGAGAGAGGGGCCCCGCAGGGCCTGAAAGACAGACAGTTTTGGCTCTTTTACAGAAAAAGCTGCTCTCTGGGTTCAGCTCCCCTTCTAAGCTCATCCGCCCTGGATACAACAGGCATTTGTAACCCACAAAACCACCCGATCCAAGAAATCAGGGTCCACTTTATCCCAGAATCTTTATTGAGATCTTATGATGGCTCTGGGCTACCAGCCTGCACCTTGTGGCCTTTAAAAAAAGACCTGTGTCCATAGGGCTTCCCTCCCTCTCCAGGCAGGGGACCAAGGGGGGAGGAGGGCAGGGCCCCACCCCAGGCGATAGCAGCTCCTGGGCCACAAAGACTAACCAGCAGCAGAGGGAGGAATACAGCCAGCACCAGGGGCACTACCACTGGGGTAGACAGGGGCCCCACCACACCCTTCTCACAGTTGTACTCAAAACAATAAATTAAATCGTCTTCCTTCAGCACTGACCCCTCTCAATCACAGGAGAAGCTGGAAGGAAAGGCGAAGGAAGGAGGAATTGGTTGTCCCTGCCCCTCTGCCCACGGCCAAGGCCTTCTCTAGGAGCAGCTATGAGCACGGACTGTATGCTTCCGTCCAAAGTGTGGCGAGGGGAGCTGTCTGGGTGGTGCCCCCTCAGACCTGTCTATCAGAAGGACCCCAATCCAAATGCAATGAACCCTAGATGGGTCAATACCCTAAGAAGGCACGGGGAGGCATTTTGGCAACTGGGAACATGAAAGCCTCAGAGAAGGGGACTTCCGCAGGAATGCTCGCTAGCGCGCGCGTGTCTGGAATTTTTTTTTTTTTTTTTTTAAACCTGCTTCAATTTGGTCTCTGAGCAGCCCGGGTCGGGTCACCCCCAGCTAGAGTCGGAAAGAGCTGTTCAGATAGAGGAAGGGGGAGGAGCCTGACCAGCCACCCAATCACGGCTGGCTGGCCTTGCCCCTTAGTGCACAGTGCAGGGATAGGTAGGACCTGGCCCATAGGCTAGAAGAGGGGTGTATAAGAGGAGCCCCCTCAGGCTTCATATGTGGCTTGACTAATTCTCACAGGGCAGGAGGTGGGGGTGGGGGCAGTGTCCCCTCCTCTGCTCCTGGTGGCCACTTGAGGGGGCCTCACCGAGGCTACAGGTTGACGGCTGTGACGTCTGTAGGCGTGCTGGTCTGGCTGGGCTCATTGCTGGAGCCGCGGAGGGCCTTGGGCACGGGGCTGGAGTTGGAGCGGGGATCCCTGAGGCTGTCCCTGAGCGCCGTTTCAATCTGCTCCTGACAGGCCCGCAGGCAGTCCTGGGGACGGGGGACAGGGGGAAACAGAGAGGCCGGTCACTCCTCACCCCGGCCCCCGATCTGGCAGCAGGTGTCGAGGAAGGCCACCTCCCAGCACACAGGGAAGTCTGGGGAGGGGAGGCTATACAGCCCAGCCCCAGGAATCAGCCTTCGGTTCTTAGAAACTGGCAAGAGGATGTGGCAAGAGGGTGTGAGAGCTACCCTGCATCCGATACCCACCCCCACCCAACACACCAAAACTTGGCAAGGAAAGGCCACCCAGCCCCAGTCCCCGACCCAAGACACTTGAACTCCTCTCCAGACCAAGGCAGGAGATAAACCCCAAGGGTGGGAGGCCTAAAGCCAGGAGCCCTAGAGGAGAAGGTTGGGGCATGAGTGACTCCCTCTATTGGAGGCTCAGCAAACAGCCAGTGGGACTTCACTGTCCCTGCTGCTGCTGCCCAGCACTCACCACTTCAGTGCCGGTGATCCCTGCCAGCATCTCGGTGAGCTCATCGGCAGACAGGGAGGTGGCACCCAGGCCTTGCACTGCAGCCCCCACGCTGCCCGTGGCGATCATGGATGGTGGGTACATGGCAAACGTATAATCTGGGAAAGGGGAAGATGGGACCGAGGGGTCAGGAAAATGGCGACAGCAAGCATGTGCTTCCTTCCCAGGCAGCACGCAGGGCAGGCTAGGGACTCTCCACAGGGAAGCCAGGGTCCGAGCAGAAAGGGGTCCGTGGTGGAGAGAGGCAAACACAGGGGAACGGGCAAGGCCCACCTCGGTGTGAACACAGGGCCAAGAAACCCGGGTTCTGGGCCCAACCTTCCTCCGAGACCTTGAGCAAGTCACTCCCTGCGCTAAGCCCTCCTTTTCCCCATCTGCACCGGGAGGAGGGAGAGGTCTCTAAGCTCCCACCCAGTTCGGAGTCTGTTCTTCAGCCTTTCTGCATGGAGTCTGAAGGCAGGGGTCGGTGCTCAGAGGAGATCATTTTCGGAAACGTGTCTAAAGGAGTGTAGACCTGGCTCGCCCCTTCTCCAAGTCTTTCGTTCCCCCGATCTGTCCACAAGCCATGCAGAGGGCTCTTACCGGTCGCACAGAGAGCCAAAAAGGTCTGGGCGTGCTTTCTGACCAAGTCCTGCCGGTCGCTGGGCAGGGTGAGCCGGTGCAGAATCAGAGGCAGGAAATCGTGGGCAATCACAGCGGCCAGGTCCCACTTGAGCCTGCCCAGGACCAGCAGCTCCCAGTCCTGAGGGTGGGAGAAGAAGGCAGGCTCAATGGCGGAGGAAGGGAGTCAAGGAGCATGTCACAAAGGAAAGGAGGCCCACCTACATTCTTCTGAAGGTCAGGACCCCCAGTCAGGTTCCTGGGCTTAGGGCCTGGGACTACGGAGGGCAGAGGGCGTAGGGAAGAGCAGAGGGCATTTGCTTTGAGCATGTGGAACACATCCAGGTGGTGGCCATCCTGAAGGAAGGCCTCATATGGATTCTCTCTCGGAATCCCATTTTGGCTATCTCAGGGTGCCGAGGTACGACCGATGGGGGGCTTCTGATTGCACGACTGGCTCAGAGTTGAAAACACAACACACACTTTTTTTTCAGGCTACACTGATAAGATACAGCCAGTACCACCATGAACTCGAGGTTCCTCTAAATCAAGCACAAAGACTATTATCCCAATGGCTCAAGAAAGGGGGGCTCTCCCCCAACTTCGCATTCTAACCAAGAAAAGCACAGTGGGCAGGGGGCCGCCCCTCCTCTGGCCCCGACACTGGGCCTCCCCTGAGGTTCCTCAAAAGGGAGCTTGCCCAATGCAAGCCACATCCCCTTGGTGGGACAGTCAGGGTGGGCCCTGGGGGTGGCAGCCACCCTTTGTCTCTGGGGCCCAAATGATGCCCAGTGCCCTCCTTGAGTCTCAGGAAGCAGTCAGACAGATGACCCCCCTAAAGGACCCAACTGTGCCCCGCCCCCTCCGAGCCTATAAATCCTGGCTGGGTCGGGAGGCTGGGAGCCCCACCCAACCCACCCGCGTCTGGTGTTCCCAGCCCTGGCCCCATTTCCGAGTTGCACTGAGGATTTCTTCATTGTTTTATCTCAGGAAGGAACTCGTGGGTTTGACCCCGTATTAAGGCAAACATGGCGACCCCACCCAACCTCTTCCAGGCCCCCAGCACAGCTGTCCCCCGTTCTGGCCCCAGAGGAGGTGGCATCCTCCCAAATAAGCCCCAAGTCCCTCCCGGGGCCCCACAGAAAACAGGCTGGCCTGGAGCCAGAGTGGGGGGCAGGAAAGCGAGGATCCAGCCTGTACCGATTCCAGTGGCCACACTGCCTAACTCACGAGTCAAGCGGGAGCACCAGGCCCCATAGGGATTAAATGGAGGGGGTGTGAGTTTCCCTTGCTCCCAGCCTGCCCTGTAACAGAGGCAACCCCTAACCAACCTAGCCCTACCTTGGTGGAAAAGACCCCTGGGAGGGATTAGCTGTTTCTTTCATGACCCCACCCACCCAGCCCTGTGGCCTTCAAGGCAATGTGGTAGGGGTAAGTAATAGTCTGAGCTTCTGCCCTTGGCTGCTTCCGTCAGTGTGACGCTTGGACGTGTAAGGCCCAGCCCTTCCCTCCTCTGGGCCTCCATGTTCTCTGCTGCACCAGACCTCGGGTGGACTGCAATTCTCCTGAGCTCCCGTGCAGCCGTCTACAAAACTGCCCCTGCACTCAGGCAGAGGGAGCGAGGGAAGAGTAGTTTTGCCTGCTCTGAAAAACTCCCCTCGAAATCACACGCACTCCCCCCTCCCCAGTATTTTCACAAAAGAGAAGTCCCCCCCTTTACAAACTTCCAGCCCCAATCCCCTCCAAGCACATCTTGCTCTCAGGCCTGGAAACCAGCTCCCCCTTCAGACTTGCCCCAAACTACCAGATTCATCAAAAAGGGCCCAGAGGCCTCCCAGATTCCCGACTCGGGCCTCCTCCCATCTCTGAGAGCGACTTGGCAGGAAGAGGAATCTTGTTCCTAGATTCACAGCAGTCGGGGGCCCCAGTACCCTGGCCTGCCCGCCAGCCAATCACAGGCGACTTGCATGCTGCCCTCCTCCCCGGAGATGGGGCCCAGAGACTGCTCTCAGGGTCAGTGGAAGACTTGGCCAGCCCGCCCTGGAGAGCAAGGTGGAGGAAGGTGCCAGCTCACCCACCCTCTACCCCAGGCTCGGCCCCCGCCCCCGATGTTCTGCCCACCCTCAATCACCTCTTCCAGGGCTGCCCGGCTCTACCATCTCCTCCTGGGGCTCAGGGAGGAAAGAGAGACTTTCCTGCCCTGCCCAAGTTCCCAGCGAGAGGCCCAGGGAGCCGCTTCCCACACCGCGGGGGTGACAGCAGCTCCCCACAGGGTTATGAAAGACCTTGGTCAGAGTGGGCGGGCCAGGGGAGGGGGCATCATTATCACATCCAAGCAGCTGCAGCCCTGTCCCTAGGCCTTCGGCTGCGGAGGAAAAGGGAAGGGGTTTCCATCGGACCCAAAGCGGGGGCTCGGGCTCCTCTGAATAAGGATGCGGTGGGGGGAGGTGGGGGGGTGGTGGCCTGGGGCGCTGGGAAGGAAAATGAAAGGCGGGCGAAGGGGGGTGGGGGGTCGGGGAATGCGGCGCCGGGCCTCGGTCCTCCCTGCCCGCCCGCCGCGCAATCAGGGCCTGGCTTCAATCAGCTCTGGGCGGCTTTTCTATCGCAAAGTCCACCCCGGGATAAAGAAACCAAGGCAGCCCCTCCCCCACCCGCAGCGCATTCCACTCCACCACGCTAGTGGGGGTGTGCAGGCATGCCCTTCTGCTGCCAATAAATAACTCACGGCGGCTTTGTCAACCCAGAGGCAAAGTACTAGTGAGTGCAGACATGCAGCCGGACTTGTTGCTTTCTGGGGGAAAGACCGGGAAGGGTGGCGCCCCCTGGAGGCCGGGAGGAGGGGGTTGCATTCATGCGGGCAGCTCCAGCCTGGAGCCGGGCCTCCCCGGACCATCACGCACTGCCATATTTTGCTTCCCACCCCAGTTCCTTTCGAAATGCATGCTCGGCCTGCCTCCTCCCGAGGCCTTGTTCCCTTCCCTTGGCGGCAGAAAGCCTCGCTGGCCGTGGTGTTCCTTCTCCTGGGAAGCGGGGAGGCCGGAGGTGTTGGGGGGACGGGGGAGGGCATGGGAGGGGGACATCTACGCACCAGCATCTGGCGGTGGGAGATAGCATGGTCCGAGTAGATGCAGAGTTTTTCGATGGTCACGGGCTTGCAGTCCCGCAGCTTGGAGGCCAACAGCATGCAGACCGAACCCAGGAGCTGCAACTGCGTCTTACGAGTGGGGACCGCGGACAGGAATCGATCCACGTAGTTCATGGCCAGGAGGAAGACTTCCTCCTCGCAGTGCTGTTCCTCGCACACCTGGGGGAGGGCGCGTGGTCACTGCAGGAGCCCAGCCCGGGCAGCGGCACTCAGGGAGCGGGGGGCACGGGAGGGACACGGGGAATGGGGGCGCAGAAGGCGGAGAGGGTTCGTAAGGATACAAACAGTCAATACAAGGACCAATATGGAGAATGCAGCGCCCTCCCCAAGGTGGCGCCCCCCCCACTTCCTCTGCACTGCATGCATGCAAACGGGGGTGGGGGGGGCGGAGGGAGCAGGCATTTAGGAACTAGAGGAAAGTTGTATTTTTCATCATTGCTACATTGCACCCTGTCTGGCTCGTCTCCTCCCTGAGATTCCAGTTCCTATCTGTACCAGTGTACATCCTCTGGTCTAGCCAGATTTGTAAGGTAGAATTGGGATCATGATAGTGGGGGGTGGGGGGGGC